TCTTCTTCTAATGCATCTTTAATAGGCGTATCTGTCAAGATTTCAGATTTTCTTTTTGTGCGACCCCGTTGCACTTTCCTTTCTGCGGCTTTTGGAAACGGCTTCAAATTTTCGAGATCTGTAAAACTACATGTTGCTACCTTGTTAGATGACTGGAGACACTGAGAATTCTGGGGCGTGGGCGTCTTACTTTCTGCAATTCTGCTTGGTCCAGCTTGTTGCACGTCTTCGTTGGGATTAGTCTCTTGGTCTGGCAAGGGGTTGTCGACACGGTTTAAAGCCTCTTCGATGAGTGTGATTTGACCAAGTTCAGGTAGATTTGCTTTAACTCTCAATACTTCACCAGGATTTACGTTTTGCTCAATATCTTGCATATCTTGTTCAGGAGCTGGTCTATCTGTAACATAAGCAGCGGGAAAAATATCCCTATTCTGTTCTGTTCTGTTCTGTTTTTTTCGTTAACCAGCTGTCGCACCCCTACGAACGACAACCCTCAGAAGTCGAAACTTGTGCGAGCTAAGGATTAACAAGGTCTTACCTTTTAACGGGTTGGACGATAGCAAGTGAAGATCGATCGTTCAGGCTAGGGCTTGAACCACCGACCAACACGGCAGTCAATTCGAGTGAGTGAACAAAGCACCCACGCCGAACCGCTTGGCTATCGACCGAAATGGATATATTCAGGAAATCTGGAATCCAGCTGTAATGTTGTTTGGAGTTGTCGCTAATGGTAGTGCAGTACGAACAATACTGGGTATGTTATAAATAGTCATCGATGCACCCGGACGATTGGTCATCCAAGAATCACAAGCACTATTGACATACTTCTTTAACGGTCCATACACATTGCGATACAGAGGTTGGAGCTTATGGCTACAGTGAGGCGGAAAGGATAACACTGTTATGCCGTGATCTTTGCAGATGTTTAGCGCTTCGGGAGATAATGCGAATCGTGGTTGTATATCAAAAGCAGGAGAGGGTTTTCTTTAGACGCCTTGGAGTATTGAATAAACAGTTGGATATATTGTATAAAATGAACTTCTTTCACCCAGCCTGATAGATTGGCACCATCGCTTCCAGGCGTGGCATCTCTGAGAAAATGGGGCTTAAAATGAACATAACTGTATTCCTCAGCCTATGAAAGAAATGACGTTATCTTCATTTAGAAATGAAATAAAAAAATATTTGATGCCGAATGCTTTTNAAACATCTTCCGATAGATGCGAGCAACGCTGGTGTTAACCGAACGGATTCCGAAATTTTACGAATGGACCAACCATCCCCTGTGCCCAACCAACCCCGGTCTCCCCTATATTACATATTTAAAATGCAGGGATATAGCGGTCGCGGCGGTACCGGCGTCGGTGCGTGCCTATAAATAGCGCGTCGAAGGCTACGCTTCGCTCTATAGCTCTTTATGATTAGCATACGTTTATAAGTATATTTAGTATCAGCATTGCACCCGTGCGGAGCAGGGGCGGTTTGCTATTCCTTTATAAAATACGAAATCATATTGATCGCAAATATTTGATTAACATTCATTGTAGTTTCATATATTCGCGATTAAAATATTTAATTTCCATAGGTACTGCGATCTGCGAATACCGAAATTCCTAAACCATTGAAAAAATTTCAGAATAAATCTATCCAACCTCCATTAGAGCCAACTGAAAATGTATATTAACCGAGAAGGTTGTTGAGTTTGGATTCACTTCATCAATTGGCAACTTGTTTGAAGGTGATTGACAATGTTTCGTGATGAATTTCACTAGTTCGGACTTCCATTGTCTATTATATAAAATGATTTGAAATCCCTAATTATTTTTTTTTACTTGTTTCAGGGATTTCAAATCATTTTATATAATAGACAATGGAAGTCCGAACTAGTGAAATTCAATTGGCAACTTGTTCCTTCATTCACCTCGCCATTATAAATAAAGAATACAGAAGTTAAAATTCTATGAAAATAATTTCATTTATAATTATCACATGAGAATTAATAAACCCTACAAAATACATATAAAACAGAACACAGAGTCAAATGCTACAAATGCAATAAGCATATATAGAGAAGGCTGAAAACCAAAGTAGGCCCAGGATGTGGAGGTATTACAGATTACTAAGCCTAAGGATAAAGTGGGGAATGGGAAAAATACCAGCGTGATTCAAACAGAACTGGTTGGTATCTCAATCGCCACAAACGGAAAATAATTTCTGGCAAAAACACAACAATCTGCACTATTAGCAGACAAGCCCTATTAGCCTTGAACAGACTACCTGTTACCTCAGGGCTAGTACTAGAGTGCCACCAAGATTTAGCCAAAGCTTCGGTAGATAATAACATCATCCTGAGGTGGATTGAAAGACACGACAGGAGTGAAGGTAATCGCATTGCAGACTCTTCAGCCAAGGAAGCGGCTGGACTAAGAATTTAAGAAGCCAGTGGCATCTAAAGCCTGGTGACTTCGACAATTGCGGAACTAGCAATACGTCACACCCATACTGAATCCCTAAAGAAATGAGATGAAATCAAAGGATGCAATCTTGCCATGATCACCCTTGGTGCCACCAAGATTTAGCCAAAGCTTCGGTAGATAATAACATCATCCTGAGGTGGATTGAAAGACAGACAGGAGTAAAGGTAATCGCATTGCAGACTCTTCAGCCAAGGAAGCGGCTGGACTAAGAATTTAAGAAGCCAGTGGCATCTAAAGCCTGGTGACTTCGACAATTGCGGAACTAGCAATACGTCACACCCATACTCAATCTCTAAAGAGATGGGATGAAATCAAAAGATGCAATCTTGTCAGGATCACCCTTGGTGACCCTGGGAAGCTGGCGCCGAAGAAATATCTGGCGAAGACCAGAAAAAAATCTACGCTTAACAGTAGGATTTCTGACTGGCCACTATCAACTAAGGAAACACCTCCACAATATGGGGCTAGTGGACACACCTCTATGAAGGATGTGTGAACAGGAAGATAAAACTGTCAGGCACGTCCTATGTGAATGTCCCGAGTTATTGTCAATAAGAGAGTGTGTGTTCGGTTAGTCTTGGCCTACACCTGCCGATATAAAGGAGACGTCTCCCAGAGACATGTCCACCTTCCTGGAAAGGACAGGATGGGCGATGACCTAGGAAGACAACTCCTTGGGGGGATGTACAATAGATCACATGTGGCCTAAGTGCTGTGGGCCTACACTCACCCTACCTACTCTACAGATACAGATACATATCACACGAGAATATTTCAGGAATTACATCCAAGCAAACCAAAAACGAAAATTGGAAAACGTTGCGAAATGGTGTAATAATTTATAATAAACTGCCAGTCATGTTTGAAAACATAAAATTTGCCCTTAAATTCAAAGTACTTTTGAAAAAATATAAATATGATGAAAATATTTGTATTTTCACTTTTGACAATGTTTCTTGGAGAGTTGAATATACATATTAAACTTTTTTGATTATATTTTGATAGTCTTATGGAAGTTGCTGCAGAGGGCCGATTCTCAGCCCCTTTCTCTTCCGTCTTTCACACTTATCCGTTGGCGACGAGAACTCTTCAGTTAATTACAAGGCAAATGTTAACAACAATTACTCATTTATTTCGGTTTATGAGTTCATTACCTTTGATTTCACCGTATCATAACTGTTTCGATAATAATTCATAGATAATTGAAAGGGTTTGATATTGATTGCTTCCTTTCCTTCTTTTGAAGATTCCCACATTTGTTTTGTATCGAAATGGAGTAGAAGAAATCCAAAAACTTTCTTTCCTAAAAGACTTATAGAAATTTCATGAAACGAATTGATTTGGATAAATTGTACGTATCCTTTTCAGGTAATGGAGTATCCCTGAAAATGCCCCCCCGACTGTCGGCGCGAAGACTCTTCCTCCTCATCCTCTTCTTCTTCACCGTCTCGATCCTCTTCTCCCTCCAGGGCCGGTTACCATGGCTACACGTGGAGACGACTGAACAACAGGAGAAGGAAAAAGTTTCGGATGAGATCGGCGCGTCTTCGGCTCCGAGTGCCGAAGTTTCGGTTAATCTCGATGAAGCCGAATCGATTACCAACCATCAGCAAGGGAAACCATGGTTCATGACAGGAGGAAGCGAGTTTCCAGGCGAACACAAGGGTCCATCGAGGTTGTTCCCGGATCAGGCCGATGGGGATAGAGTGGTCGATCAGTTGATGTATGTACCCGAAGACTATCAAGGTAAGAAACATATATTTTCTGAGTCATTGACTTATGAGAGAGAATATTTAAGAAAACTTATGTAGATGTATAAAGAACGACAAGTCACACATAGACAAGGATAACAGATCAGGTGTCTATAAACTAACATGCGGATCATACCCAAAAGTGTATGTAGGACAAGAAATTTCAAAACGAAAGTCTTCGAACATAAAAGAAGTTTTGAACTGAAGAAAACCAATTCCACCTATGCGTGCCACCTTTTGAAGAACGACATCGATTTCAGCACTGAACAGGGACGCCGGGTTTTTAAAATTCCCGTGGATGTTCCAGCTTTTTTAATGACATACCAAGCTACTTTTATATTATATTTATATCAGTACTAGCTGACCTGGGAAACTTCGTACCGCCGCCGCGCCATTATAGGTATATACTAAATGCTGCACCATACACATACACTTTTATTTTTAAATATTCGATTGAAAACAAATAAAATTGCGCGTCAGTTATCTCATTCTTTAACTTTAAAAAATTACAATTAACGATAACCAATAAAATCTATGAATCACAGACAAAACAAAACAAAAGTGAAATTCGGCAGTTCTGCGCTTCGCGTGCGTGAGACAGAGAGCGGCTACGTTTGTTTTCTAGGCGGGCGTATTACGTATATTATTTAGGTATAAAGGCATATTATTTAGATCGAGTTTGTTGAAAGATTAGAATGAGAATTATACGACATATACGACATATTTCACGTAGATGCTGCTGGAGTCTCTGGAAATAAACGTTTCCAACGTTCGGGTTGCCTGTTGAACGACCAACGTGATACTGATAATTTAATTCATATTAAAAAATTCACCTGCTGTCCAGGAACTGAGTTTGTCATTGGTTAACAAACTTTTTCTACTAACTATTAACCAATCGAGTAAGGTATAGTTCAAGTAAACGATATAGTGCAACCTACCTCCCAACAGCTCCCCTTTAATAATATAGTTAGGGAGCTAATTAATTTCGTTATATAATAATCATTTCTGATTATGTGGCAGATGTGTGGCAGATTGTGTGGCAGATACCCAACGGAAAAACAACAACTCACTCAGCTAATGCCGCGCAGAGAATTGAAGTAAAACCATCAGTCACCTGTGCAACGTCTTCAACCGATAGACCGGTTTCGGGGTGATTGCCCCATCATCAATACCGGGCATGGTCTCTTCAGAATGGTGTGAACCGTCTGAGTATCATGACCAAACAAATATAATTCCATCTAGTCATAGAATTTCTCTGCAGTTGATTCAGCGGGATGTCCAGCCAGGTGTTTGTCTGCCAGGTATCTTAATAGAAAAGTTGAATCATTATGAAATACGCGGAATACCTTTGAACAATAATAGATGAGAGTTAAAACTTGTCACACACGGTATTCCTCAAGGATCAGTGTTGGGACCTTTATTATTCATTATATATGTCAATGATCTCAATAAATATATGGACAACTGCAATCCGGTCAGTTTTGCTGATTATACTAATTTTATATATTCAGAAGAAAATATGACGGACCTGAAAAAAATGCATGAAGAGGTAAGGGAGAGATCTGACCATTGGTTTGCAATGAACAAACTTGAATTGAATAGTGATAAAACACAAATGCTACTTTTCTCAAAGCAACTCGCAGATCTGAACAAGAGACTGTTGAAATACTTGGACTTTTCTCAGACAATGGCCTATCTTGGAATTCACATATTGATTTTTTTTATAAATTGTCCACATTCATTTTCATTCTTCGTCAATTGAAAATCATAACAAGTAGTAGTACATTGAAGAAGACATACTTCTCTCTGTTTTATCCACATATGAGTTATGAATTTGGATATCCATAATTATGATACAAGGAATGCGAACAATATATACTCAAATATATACTCAAATCGTCTGAATATATTTAAAAAAATCTTTAGATTATAAGCTTTATAATGTTCTATCTGAGGATTCGAAAAAACTGAGTACCGTGAAATTCAAGAAACCCTTGAAGGAATTTCTTCTGAGTCACTGCTTCTACTTGGTCAATGATACATTCAAAATGTTTCAAATCAGAAACATGCTCACTCCGACACGATCCCATATCATTAGTCCGCCTATATATGTTTTCTTGTACGTATTGTATGTCTTTTATTTATTCATTTCAATTATTTCAATTATCTGATCATATCTCTGTAAATTTCCCAGCCGATAAAACAGTTTTTGCTTCTTTGGTGCCGGTTACCCCTTTGCAGTCCACTGTTTGGACTGTATTTTTGTTTCGGGCGTATAATGGTGTATCCAAGATTCATCTACAGTAATATCGCGCCTAAACTGCGCCAACAGAGCGTTGGAAATGTTCATTCGAAAACGTTTTTGGTCTAACGTGAGCAAACGCGGCACCCAACGTGCGGACAGATATCTCACACCTTGTTGACTTGATAAGTCACAAACACGTTCTTTTGCCATGTTCATAACCTCTTCTATCTCCCTCTCACTTTGATTCGGCGGTCGTGTAAGGCTAATTGCACACACCGATTGTGAACGTCGTCGATCACCGGTCGGCGTGTGTGCCATCCCGTTTCCACATGTGGTTCACTATTGGAATTTGGACGACCTAAAATTGGCCGTCTAAATTTGGTGTGTGTGCAATTAGCCTTTTTACGGTAACGTTCAACTCCAATTGCCCAAAATTTCATTGTTATTAATAATGGTGCAGAGTATCCATACACAGAATCCCACTCATCTTTGATTTGCTTAGGCGTATTGACTTTCAAAAAGCAAATATTCAAGGACAGCTCGATACTCGATTTTGTCCATTTTCATAAAAATACTCACACTAACATCAATTCAAAGGACTGTTACATAACAACTGGGCGTCCAAAATTGCTGAAACTTTGGTGAGAAACTCTCAACAGATGAACAACGAAATTCACAAGCTTTCATTTTCGAGTGCTGCTATATTGATGTTGAAGTCGGAAACTTTTCAAACCACCTGGAGGGTGATCTTCGGGAGGTTCATGCAAAATATAGGGAGTTCCATTCGAGAAAAATCAAGAACAAATCGATTTCCAGTTTTGGTCCATTCGTTCAACTGAGTTTTCATTGAAAACAAAAACGGTTCAATGAATCAGCTTCTTCACACCTTATTGAGACCCGTTCCACAAGATAATAAATTATACTTTTGTTTTCAGGATACGACAGTCCCGAGAAAGTGATCCTCGCTTACAACGGTCTGGGTGCATGGGGTCAAAAGTCTGGGTCAGCTTCTTTTCATGGGTGTCCCGTCAGCAGATGTTCTCTTACTGATGATAGAAGTAAAGCTACAGATGCTGATGCTATTTTGTACAAAGATCATGTCATACACCCAGGAGTACCAAGACCCTCCAAACAGGTAATCAAATGAAAATTCTTTTGAACAACAACAATAAATTTCTTTTTGAAAAGGTAACCACTTACTTACACCGAAAAGAAACAAAATGCAATAGATACGAAACACGATCATGTTGCTAACAGAGAGAATGAATGTCAAGTAATATTTCTTTAAAATATTCTTCTTGCACCATCATCCTATTCTATCATATTGAAACTCGAAACCTTGAAGGTTGAATGGAACATGCCGAAAATGTATTCAATTATAGATGAGAAGGAGTATGCACATTGAGTTCGGTGACTTTGGGATCTGATGAACTAGCATTTCTGTTTGGTACGCCTTGAATGATGATATGATTATGTGATATTTTTATCCATTTTGATATCTTTCAAGTGATGTTTCTGTATACCATACGTCGTATGGATCATTGACAGGCGTAGCTAGTATACAAAATCATAAGACAATGTTGCGAGTGTTTCCGAGCCAATCCTCCAGCTTCTAATCATATCATGAGTAATCTTCCACATGTTCGTGTGAATATTGTTGATTATTGCGGACCATTTCAATTGAAGCAAAAAAATATCCGCAACCGATCGTCAATAAAGGCGTATGTCGCTGTAATTGTATACCTTACCGTCACCGACCTCGCCTCAGATGGTTTTTTGTCAGCCTTACGGAGATTCATCTTTCGTCGTAGTTTATGTCAATATATCTACAGCGATAACGGCACAAATTTTATTGGGGCCAATAACATATTCAAGGAGTTCATAGATAATGAAAATGAACTCAAGGCACAAAACCAAATCCAAGGCTTCCTGACTGGATAAAGGATTACAATGGCATTTCAGCCCTCCACAGGCTGGGTACGTCAGTGTATTATGAGAAGCTGCTGCCAAAAGTTTTAAAAGACATTTATTCAAGGTCGCAAGGCATGATGGGTTGTTCACATATGAGCAATTCAATACCTTAATTATTGAGATAGAAGGTATATTAAATTCTCGACCATTGACCGCTATTTCCTCTGATCCTATCGATTCTATCGCTCTTTCTCCTGGCCACTTTTTAGTAGGTGACTCTTTGACCAACTTGCCGAATTATTACTATTCGAAAAACTCTAACAACCAATTGTCTCATTGAAACATCTCCAAATGGTTAAACAACACTTGGACCCGGTGGAAAAAACTCGGGTCCAAAATTGTGCAGGACTCTGTCGTTCTATTACGTGAAGATAATGTACCACCAGCTCAATGGGTAATGGGCAGAATCATCGAGTGTTATCTTGGCGCAGTTGGTGTTGTGTCAAACGTATCGCGATAGTACCTATGGCAACTCTCGATTGTGAAACAAAAAATTAGAGATATTAAGTTATTTATCGTAGCCTCTCAACGGGGGAAGTATGTTCAAACGTATCAGTCTTTTTTACATCATTTTAAGGATTGTATAATTTTTTTATTTAACATTTTTAACCCTTGGGTCGAATTGTAATCTCAAAGTGTTTATTGTGTTCATTTCCCTTTAAGTATTTGAAATTGGAAATTTCACGTTATTGATATTTGTTCACGATGAGTAAATTTGCAACTCAAACCTCAATAAAAAGCCTATACTTCTCTTGTTAACTTTCTCAAGACCGTCTATTTTTTATTTCTTTATGAGTATATTATTTGGGTTCAAATACCGAGATTTATAAGGTTAACGTGACGTTTCTTTACATTATTATCTTTTTGAAATTATGGCAACTATTATCTACAATCCTAACTAGTTTCTCTGTTTGCCAAATTTCGACCTAAGCACCCTTTTTCCAAGTTGTTCGGGGACTACGTGACTTGACAATAATTCCCGCCCATCCTGAAAAATTCCCCTCTCTTAAGAAGACATTTTGGGATAGGACCAAGTGAAAATAAAATTCAGTGTGCATACGAGAGTAACAAGACATAACGTCTTACCGCGTATCACAAAATTCAGTTCAGTTTGCAAGTACCGTAGAAAAATCTTGTTACAAGACATACCGTCTTATCAGTTACCGTTATCAATACTAATCTCGTCTAGCTTTTTCACCACACATATTTTTATTTATACATTAGGGCTTATACTATATCCTTATAGTAAATGAAGTATTGATTAGATATCAATTTATCTGGTCAAAAATTATTGGTGAAATTTAATTATTTTTTTATTGTAAAATTTGGATTAAATCATTGATTAAAAAACAGTTTCTGAACTTGAACTTTTCTTTGGTGCTGCAGTTATATCATTCAATATTACATATTCAGCGTTCGTGGACTGAATAATATTTTTTTTTTGAGGGATTGAGACGAAGAAACTCCTGAGACTTTTGGTTCAAAAAAATATAATAAATTCCATTCAGGTGTCCGTCAATTGATTATTCCTTTTTTACTTTATTCAAAATCTGGAATATTTGATCCCAGACAGCTATCTTTTATAAATATTACTGCTGTACAACATAAAAACAAGAAAGAATTAACTACTTATCACCTTAAATATGCTATACGCCGGAATCATAGTATCGTCATACCTTTAATGCTCAAATCAGTTGGGCAGAAATCCTTCCGGTATTTAGGACTAAAACTCTACAGTTTTCTTCCTGAAAATTCAAGATGCGAATCAAATCTCAAAAAATGTATAACAAAGATTAAATTATTTGTCAAGAATATACCACGAGCAGAGATACATAAACAAATATAAATTTAAATACTTACTTCCACGATTGTGGATATATATTGTGTACCTATTGATTTGTTTGTAGTCTGGAACCATAATTGAAATCTCTATATTCATTGATTATTTAATTTATTTATATTATGTCCACATGTGTCCAGTTCAAAGTTATGTTTTTAGCCATACTTAGTACCCATTCAATACATTAGTTTATTTTGATTCTTCATATTCTGTTCAAATATGTCCAGTTTAAAGTTATATTCTTATCTGTATGTAGTACTCATTTCAATAGATTGATTGGTTTTATTTATTTATATTCTTATCAAATGTAGCTATTTTGAATTTATATCTTAGTACTTAATTTATTGCATGAATCTCATTCAATGTCAGATTCAGTTTTCTCATTCATTACACACGGACAGATCATTTTGCCTCGTAAGATGTATTTTATTTGTTCACTGTTCATTTCTATATGTACATGTATATTTACTGTTAGCAATCTTGAGAAAGTGAATGAATACTTATTGAAAAACAAAGTTTTTGGCTTTCTACTACTCCATCTTGATACAAACAAAAAGATGAGGGAATCTTCCAAAGAAAGGAAGGAAGTAATCAATTTGAAAATAAGTAACTCTATACATGGATGTGTAGATCATGCAAAGAAGTAACTTTCAGACACAAACTGAAAGAAAGTCCTCCTGAAACAACTACTTCCATATAAAAAATTCTTTCGAAACAAATATTTCTATATGAACACTGAATTACACAGAAGATACTTTTCTCTACTCAGTTTGTATTTCAAACATTCGTTGTGGAATAAAATCAAATATCATTCACATGAGTTCTACTTTAAATGAATGGTAGCAAGTTGTACTTGCATGGAACACTGTCATCTTCACTGGTATACATCGATGTTTCGCCGTAAGACACTTGCCCTAAGGCTCTTCAGTACCAAATTGATTAACAAGTTTCAGATTATAAACGACCTAAATTTAAAAAAAAACTGTTTCTCATCAGCATCCTTCCATAGTACGAACATATCATCAACGTAACTCACCCAATGATATGATTTCACGGCTGCTTGCTCTGAATATTACCATTCGAAAATATGAGGGGAGATGGTGGAAACCAAATAAGGGATAAAATTTCAATTGAAGGGAAAAGGGAATTCCCATAAATAATATTTACCAGTTGTATTAGGTTGTTTCAAAAGTTTTGTCCGTTTTAATGGCATGTGTTTATGTAGCTCCATATCTCAATAGATATGTATTCTACTGGGTTGTGGTGTATACTAATCGATAGAGAATTTTGTACTCTATACATTGATGCTGTCCATTTTTTCCAAATTAAATTTTTTTTGCTTTTTCACAGCTTATTACTAGATGATGTCCTTAAGCGATTTTCGGTCAATATATCTTTACGAATTCCAATTGAACCAGAGCGTTGCCGAAGCAGACCGAAAAATCAACCAGACATTTGGCAATGAGGATGTAAATGAACGCACTGTTCGACGTTGGTTTGCGATATTTCGTTTCAGAGATTTCGGCCTTAAAGATGAGCCCCGAAGTGATCGACCTACAGTAATCCAGGACGAGGATTTAAGGACTCTGGTGGGAACTGACCCATCACAAACGGTGGGTGGGATGGCAGAAGAACTAGGCGTCAGCTCCCACGTGGTTGTTGACGGTTTAAACGTACTGGAAAGGGCAACAAGCTCGAAAAGTGGGTGCCACATGATTTGGATGATCGGCAGAAATTGTCACGCTTGGAGGTCTGTCCATTTTTACTTTTGCGCAACCAAAACGATCCTTTTTGGAACGGATCCTCACGTGTGATGAAAAGTAGATCCTCTACGACAACAGGAGACATTCAGGATAGTGATTGGACACCGTTGAGTCACCCAGGCACTTCCCAAAGGCGAAAACCAATTAAAGAAGGCCATGGTTACTGTCTGGTGGTCAGCGGCTAGCGTCATTCACTATAACTTTCTGCAACTGGGCCAAACCATCACAGCAGAGTCCTGTTGTGAGAAAATCGACGAAATGTATCGAAAATAGCATCAGCAGCAGCCGGAACTGGTTTACAGAAGAGTTTCAATCCTGCTCCAAGACAACCCCCGTCCGCATGTTTCACAAATCACTATCTGAAAATTAAACGAAGTGAACGTCGAAGTCTGCCTTATCCAAAATACTCATCAGGCTCTCGCCAACCGAATAGCATATTTTCAAGCAATTCAATAAGGTTCTCATGGGTAGAACCTTCGCCAATCAGGGCCAGACAAAAATGTCATCATCAACTTCATCAAATCTCGAGAAAACAATTTTCTTGTTGACGACATTAGTCGACTTATGTTACGT